ACAGAATCCATCTTTTTGGAAAAAATTGAGGGGATATATGTGCGCACCTCCACTAGTTGTCCACTTTATAGTATACCTACCGTACCTTAAATGCCCCGATAATAGATGACGCCAAACGCAGCTTCGCGTAGCGGTTTCGTTGTTTATGACCACTATCACCTATCTAGAAATCAAGCTCCTTGGCGTATACAAATCATATAAAAATAAAAAATGTCGAAAAATATCACTCCACCCTTCTTAGGCAGATAGAGTATGCTCGGTTGATGAAGCTGAAACAATGAATTCTGATTTTACCATCATATGACTTAATTACTTGTACTATCTATGACACTTATTCTTTGAGCCTGACAATGGATTCACGATTTATTACCTCTTTTGTTTCGCATAATAATGGTAGACGTGACGTGAGCTCTGACGCATGTTAGCAGCTGCGGCGAACTTTAGTTTCTCATTTCAATATGATCTTTGGACTTGCTTCAGGTTAAAGCCTTCGAAGCTTGTTCTTGATCATTTCATAGGCTGTAGAGTTTCTTTGGGTTTGGGTTAAAAAAAAGACATCAAAAGCTTGGTGGTCAGGGTCCGGCGGGGGTGGCGCTTTCACAAGCTGGATATCGTTTTTGGCCAGAAAAAGCAAGGGGGAAGTCGTATTTTGGGGTCCGCCCCTTTGTTTACCGATAAACAATGCACATATCATTCTTTATTCATCAGTCCTTGTTGATGCTACTGTCCTATGAACTTAGATTCCAGCAATGTGAAGATTCTGTGCTCCGATCGCTAGCCTGCCCGCAGGCGGGAATTCAAATTGCAATTCTTGTAAGAGGGAAATAACAAAATAGGCTCGTTTTCAATGCACAAGTGAGCACCAAATTTGCTGTGTAGTTGGAGGACCATGAGCACAAAAAAAAGTATGAAGAATTATGAGAAACTTATGTGAATTTAAAAAATGGTAAGTGTTTTTCGAAATTAGGTGGCTCCCGCGCCACCTGGGAGCCACCTGGGGTGGCTCCCTGCTTCCCTTCACATAATTTCCCGGATTTCTTTACATAAATGTGGACTAGGTCGAGAGTATTACTATATGTTCAAATTCGCTTCCAAAACCACCAAGGCACCGCTTCGATAGAGCCCCAAATAGGGTTCACAGCGTTATGATCGGCCTCGGAAAGCGCGCTCCAATCGCAATCGGTTATTGTAAATTGTAAAGTTTCGCAGCTGACTAATAAATGAGTAGTATCTTAAATATATAAACGTCAAAGTTTGTGCAAATCTTGACCCTATGTTTTTTTAAATAGATTCCTTTGCGGATGAACCCATTGAGCTGAAACATTGGTGACCCGGGCTGGACCAGGAAAGCCAGGTAGTACTACTATAATAAGCGCTGAGGCCGCCCATCTTATTATTTGTGTATATCTGTTTGTCAGGGACTTACGGGGGTCAAAATAGGGTCAAAGGGGAAGTCGTAAGAAATTTTGGCTTCAAGGGAGATATCGTTTTCAAAATTCTGAAATGCCACCTCCTGCCGGGCCCTGTTGGTGGTTACGAGAAGAGGTGCTTGGCTTGCTATGAACCCTCAAAAGCTAGAGAATATACTTTGATTGAGTTGAATGGAATTCCTAACATTGTAATAAAGCATCCAGATGAATGTATTCGACATCTTCAAACTCAGTGAAGGCAATAGATGAATGTATTTTGGATATGAAGCTTCGCAGACATCCGGATGAATTATTCGACTGGTTCATTATTTAAAGGAATTATCAGCCTGTCTAGTCATTATCGACCATTCGTATTTCGAATCGGATTATGACCCTCAAATTTCGAATAAAATCAAAACTCATTTATTCAAAAATTTCAAAGTGTACTCGATATTCGCTTATGCGAGATTTACAGTTTTCGAATCATTTGACATTCGTTTATTCTATAAATATTCGAATTCCTGTACTATTTCATATAGCGGGAGGGAGGAAACCGATTGGAACCGCCTGCAGGGCTCGGCACGAGGTGGCTGGATGAAAATGGAAAAAACGAAGTCCCCCTTGACTTTTGGGAATTTTTACGAAGACCCCTTTGACCCTAAACCAAATTTCTTCTAAAAACCTGAAAAATTCCCCAAAATCCCCCAAAAAACGAAACGTCGACTAAAAAAAAAAAGGTCGCCGTCGCCAATTTTCCGTGTCTCTTCGGTCACAAAAACGAAACCCCCTTTGCTTTTCGTCCCAAAAACGATATCCAGCTTGCTTGTAAGCCACCTGTGCCGAGCCCTGACCGCCTGTGCTAAATTTTTGTTCTCGTGCCACCGTCCCCATTAGCCTATATCGTCAGAAGAATTTTTTCGTTGAAGCAGATGAAATTTATTTCTGTTTAGAATAAAAAAGCGGCTCTGTCCATAAGTTTTTTCCCATAGTTTTGTGTAATATCAGATAGCGCTGCTTTTTCAGAACTTGTTCATTCATGATAGAAATGCAAACATAAATCTAATCACATGCTTTATGTTATTTCGTCGACAATATTTGGTCCACAAAAGCAGGTGTAGACGTTGTTTATGTACCATAGACAAATCTGTGCCATATCACATGGTTTGAACTATTTTGACTGTCTGGCTAGAATTGCTTTTTTTGTAGTGATCGGTCATAATCCATCAGATTTTCGATGAGATAGATGACTCTCAGTTTTAGAGATTTCGAAAAATATTTTGGAGACGCTGAAAAACAAGCAGCTGGTTCGCAGACGTTTTCAATCATTGAGATACCAATGATATGAGTAATGCGAGCAGTCAAGCTGAAAATTTTTCAGTAAAATATGAACGGAACCCTGGGAATCCATGGTCATGCTAAATTATTTTCACCTTCCTTTCATATAGGCCCAGTCTTTTTTCACGAAAAAATGTGAAGAATCATAGCATAATTTTTATTTTACAAATTTTTTGAAATGCTAAATGTAAACCTTTGTTAGGTGTCCCATGAATGAAATCATATCAAAAAAATTTTTGGTTTTAAATTATACACTTGTTATCACGTGTTCTGAGAATAAGTCCATATTTTCTCTTGTAAAAAATGAGAAGTTTTAGCATTGTATTTTCATGTCATAAAGTGCAACAAAATTATCTTTTTGTTACCCATAGAGGAACATTATAAAAGATGCATAATTGCCTTGTTAGTGTGACTTCAACAATACTTTCGAAAATGACAAATGAAAAATTTCCTTTGATTGATAAACGTACTAAGAACGATCAAAAACTCTAATAAAAGTACCAAGAACGATTAAAAACTTTACGAGAATTCCTAACGGAATCGTGCAAAAGTATGCATTTTCATTTGGTGTTTATGAACTAGCCCTTGTATTCGAAGCATTTATGCATTTTGTAATAAATTTTTATAGCTGATAACACAAATTTTTGTTACTTTTTTGTAAAATATAATAGCGCTATAATTGGCTGTGATGTAATCGTCTTTGGTTCTTAAAAGTAGGTTACGTCGACTGCAAAATGGCGCCATAATGTCGCAGACCACGTGCTCCCCTTTTATCTTTTTCTTTATCGATGGAGCTCGTGTTTGTCCATTGTATGACAGCTGTTTGTAAAAGATGAAATAACTCAACTCTTATCTATTTACAGTACAGCTTCCGGTAAATACTTGTTTTGTCCTACTGTTTTTCTACAGTAGAATATATAAAGTGTTATGCTCAGTGAGAGTGCTTGCATTTTAAAAAATTCCAAGCTTAAAGCGACCTTGGTTAAAATAATCACATAAATTCTAAAAGTAGAAAAATCATATCAAAAGATAAAAAAGTAAAAATACAAAGTAATTAAAATATCGAGGAACTCTGTGGTGCTACCCAAAGCCTGCTTCCCAAAAACCAGAAATTCCAGCTGACCGAAATTTGTAGAAATATTTGAAAATTATTCTAATCATTTAAAAGTATAAATGAGTCACTTGCACATTTATAACCCATGTAAATAGCCTTCCCAAATTTCGCGACCCAATCTGGAGGTAGAGGGCTTATATCTCAAGGGTTTTGATGAGCACGGACACAGAAGTGCTTACTCATAATTCTTAACAGTTCTAACAGCCTCACTATCCAAGAAATAAAAGCTTTAACATGGAGCCGCAAGGTTTAAAAAACAGCGCCTTATTTTTGAGACCCCGCATTTAAAAGTAATCGTTTTGAAAGAATCTATTAACAGTATCTTTTTTGATAGTATCTTGACTACACTAGAAACAAAACTGCCGCAGCTGGTAAAACCTTCAGAAAACATATAATTTATCAAAAGTAATAAACTTCAAGTTCTTTCTATGAAGAAAAAGCGAAAAAATTGTTGACATAACTGAGTAAAATTCAATATTTTTTCTTCAACTAGTGAAAAACTTTCCTGCTCGCTTTAAGGCAATGAGAAAGCTAAACGAAGGCGATTGGATCTGCATTATTTCTAAGGAAAATGCAGAAAGAAAAAAAACGTGGAAAGAAAATAAACAAACATTGAGTGGAGTTCACATCTGCTTGAACGCATGGTCCGCAAAACTGCGGTGTTCCATGAATATACCTCCAAAGTCGTTGAACATCTTTTTCGAAGAGTGAATTTCTGGTTGTCTAGAAATAATAACAAACTTTTCAGTAACTGTCTTTAACATATAATGAAGAGAAAATTTTTTCAATTTCGGTATAGCAGGACTCCACATTCAAAATAAAATGCCAAATAAAAGTGGCATATGATCGCATCAAAAACAGCAACGGATGAAGATCAAAAAATACCTTAATACAAAGAGAACTTAGTCAAGAAGGTAATATGAACAAAAAAAATGCGAGAACCTTTTTCCTTCAGTCATGCCCTCAGAAAGGAGTACCAGCAATTTTTCCCGTACCCAATCAGAATGAGTAACGAAGGTTGAGGTATAAAGTATATTTTTACGAGCAGAGGTTTTTACTATACTTGTCAACAGAGAAGATATTTGCGCATTTTGACTAGTTTCCCTCGTTTGAAAAGTAAAGTTGACACCGTGTACAACTATGTTTAGCACAACACATTTATTATTGTCGTTATACATAAACAATATATAGCGCAAAATTATTACACATGCAATCACAGCGTAGAACTCTTGTATGCAATCAAATAGAAAAATTTAGATAACGCGTCTTCAGCTGTCGACGCTGCGATATAAAAAAAATCTTAGAGAGAGAGGTGACAAATAATAGAGCCGTAACCGTAATCGATCTATACCGTTAAACGTGAGCTGCGCCAATTGGCGCAATGAGAAATGACATTACAACGCAACGGTTTTCTTATGAGAGTCAGGAAATTTCAGGGGGAGAGAAAAATCTGGATATCGAACGCTCTACGATACTAATGTGTACAGTCCAGAATACAATTCTATGGTCACTATGTTCACAGTAGATCCAGCACCAAAATGTACGGGGAAAAAAGAAACCCAAAAGAAAACTTAAATGAACAAAAAATTGGTGAACACTAAATTTTAGTGCTGTCGCTACCGTAGGGGAAGATTAGATGTCTGAAAGCTATGGAATAACCGGAGATGCTTGTTTAACGGCGAGCAATGTGCAAGATAGTTGCTTCCGTCCACAGCTGGTGGTCAACAGAGAGATCGTGTCAGTTGGACAACCTAAAGAGCAAAGAATTAATCGCTAGGGGGTCAAAAAGCGATATTTTCACAAAGTTACACATAAAATCTCAAAAGTTTGCTTCTTTTTGTCAATATCCTCAATTTAATAGATTTTGCGCTCAATATAGTGAGCTTACGGGAAGATTGCGCGACTAATTATGCGCTTAAACTAGCCACGGCGTAATGCCGGCATTTCGCGCACAAGTGGCAAGCATTACAAGCGCAGCTATTTATTTACGCGCAAAATTGGTCGCACAATCTCGACACCGCAAGCACACCATATCACGCGAAAAATCTATTTAACTGTATGTCTATTCTGCGCTAACAATCCTCACCTTTCTCTGGACAACATCAGTGCGAGGTGAACTCCATCTTTCGATGACATCGAATTGTCTGTGCCTCTTCACAAGTTCGAGGAAGCTGGCAAGACTGCTGTCCACGGTAAAGTAATGGGATGGACTGGACAGCAAGCTGAAAAATTTTAAACTGATTTTCATAAATCACCATAATCAAGCTGATGTAGTTTCAGCTTACCAGATTCCATCGTGGCTGAGGGCTTCATCAAGAATTTCGTGAACCATTTCAAATTCGTCTTCACTGCGATTTAGAAGGTCAGCAGCTAGGATGACATCGAAACTGTAAAATAGAATTATTTAGAGATAGCACAGCAATACAAAGGGCTTATAAGGAATTAAAGCGCTAACCGTTTGCCTCCGAGGGCTTTTTTCATCTCAGTGAGGTCACCGCTTGAGAATTTGCACTTGTTTTCGGGAATTGCATTTCTTCTCAAAGTCGGTTTGCAGTACATTTGCAACGATGTCTTCGACTAAAACAGATTTTATTACGAAGATTTAAATCCATTAAATTTTTATATATTTTTACAATTCATTATTAGCTTACAGAAATGATTGCAAAAAAAACTTACTGGACAGTGAAGGGTGATCTCAGCAGCTCCATTTTCGTACGCATACACAGAAGGCAAACCAGTTGCAAATCCAATCTAAAATGAAAAACTTGATTTTCCTGGAACATATTTTTACACCCTTCAAATTAAATTATTGTTACGTGCATCTGCACACTTTTCCAGCAACTTTTGCAAAATTTCTCTTCTTGACCGTTTTTCCACTAATTTGATTTGACATCACAATCAAAGAACGCTCGACACTTGCCAGACGTGATTTGCAGGTGTTTTTTCTAACTAATTCCATTACAGCTACCATGGTGGCCAGAAAACTATTCTTTGCGCTTTGTTATGCACTTTCTGCAAACCTGAGGAGAAAAAACTTACTTCAAGGACGCTCTTGCCCTCAAAGAAATCTGTTTCCATTTCGCTTTCCACGATAGCATCAAGCATTTGGCAGAGCGAATTGACAGCCTCCCAACACATGGTTTGGTCAATGCCTGAAATACATGAGATTAACCAAGAAATGCTTGAAATACGCATGAAATTCTTCTCGTATTTTTTCTTAAAATCGCCCTGATATCTTTCTTTTATTCTAGAAACATCCCATGGGCCTGGAAAAATTACTCTTCAAAGTTTTCATTCATTTCCTTGCTATCGCTTTCCCACCGAAGTACGCTCTTAGACCTTCGTAAATATTTATTTTTTTTCACCCTTCACCCAAAAAACATTCTTTTGTTGACATGATCGTTTCAATTCATTACACTAATAACTGTCACATAGTAGTGTTGCGCTTTGCTATAAAAATTATTACAACTATCTTACCACGGGGGGGGGGGTTATAAATTTGTTTACGAGTGCATACACTTCAATCGCTAAGAAAAGTCACGCCTTAGCTATCATTTGATGTTGTAAACTATATGGCGGGTACAAAATTTTTCAAGTTCTAAAAAAAAGGTGCGCTCCTGATAATAGGAATATAGCTGTTGAGGTTGCTGAATGCATCGTTTAGATTCGATGCACCGAGATTGCCACATAGTTCTTTTACATTTCTAGATTATAGATTCTTTGCGAAGAAATTCTATAACCTAAAAGCGCAATAGAACTATGTGACAATTATCAGTGTATCAAAATGATCACGCAGTCAACAAAACAATAACTATACCCTATTATCAGTTGCACCCATTTTCAAGGACATGAAAATTAATGACCCGCCACATCCTTTACTTCCTACCCAAGCAAAACTACTCTGTCTGAAACAACAGCACTTGTACGTAGTGGGTACAAAGTTGTCATTGCTCTGTTGTGCAAAACAACAGTTACATTCTTAGCTATTTATCACTGATTGAGACATAACCTCGTGACTTTCCATGGGACCATCAACTCCCCCCTATCGCACAACACAACAAATGCCATCAACTAACAGATAGGCGCTGAAGAGGTAATGATCGGGCAGCTGTCGGACAACAGCTTCACTGTTTTTGAGTGAACACCACTGCCAACATACCCCGTAGTTTTCTGTTGTTTTCGTATTACCCGCGAGATTTTTGGCCCACACAAAAAAAAAGAAATCCCCCAGAACTCACCATCACTTCCGCTGCTCTTTCTTCTCTGAGTTATGTGAAGTTCTTCGAAAGTGCCATTGCAGAGCACTTCTTTGCGAGGATTTGCGTCTTTCGGAGCAACATAGCGGATGTAACGGCCCGATTCAAGCTTGAGCTCGCATGGTACGGGAGCGACAGCGTCAATGTTGGCAGAAAGTAGAACCATGGTTGTTCTGGAAAAAATCTAAATCTTGTAAAGGGGTCAAACGTAACCAGAACGGTAATCGCGAACAAAACGAGGAGAAAAGACATAGAAGTGAGCTTCTAAATTAATACGACGGCAAAACAATGCACGCTGGATTAAAGGCAGTGGCCCGGCAAAATTTCGTCTTCCTTTTCCATTTTTCGGAGCCCTCTCGCCTTGAGAAACCCATATCTGGGCTTTTCAGCGCATGAAAATGGCGAAAATGAGCTTCTCTCGAAGCTTTCCAGGTCCGCACTCAGTGGAAAATACGCGGAGGGAGGAGGGTATGAAGGACTTCCGGCGTATTTTTCACCGAATGCGGATCTGGAAAGCTTCGAAAAGGACTCATTTTTGCCATTTTCATGAGCTGTAAAGCCCAGATATGGGTTCCTCATTGGCAAGAAGGCTCCGAATAGGTGAAAAACCGAACAGCAAAATTTTGCTGAGACGCTGTTAAGCCTAAGAGATACAGTAGACTAAAAAAGAACATATGATGAATGGGAAGAATCTGCACTGTAAAGACCCAGACATAACAATTTATACGCACATATACTACCGTGGAATGCAATGATTCACATATGACGGAGAACCAGTGTAAAAGTAACACTAAACCGGTATAACACTGGCTGTAAGTAAATGTAGACGTCTGGTAACAGTTATGTCTTTGACAGTTGCTGGGAAGAATCCCTAGATCTTACATATCTCAAGAATTACTCTCATTCAAGCGGATAAGCAAGACTTCAAAGCAATAGACTCGTTAGCTGGATATGGAGGAGGGAAGAGCTTAGAGCTACTCCATGCAATGCTTTTATATAGGAAAAGTGGTGTATGAGCCATGCACTATAAACAGCCAGCCCCCTCTGAGTGAGGCGCGGTCAACAGGCAAGCGATTTTTGCTTCTCGTCATTTACACCTCAACAACATCAAACACTGTCTGTAACGTCGGAAACGCACATGATCGTCTGAATGAAAGGAAGAGACTCTTAGTCACTGATATGGGTACCAAAGGACCCGTTTGAAAGTGGTAACAAGGATGAACCCGTTACCTTGGTAATAGAGGTCTCTTCCATCCACTGGAAGACAAAAAAGGGACCAAGGTAGCAAAAAAAGACTCGCTACCCTAATCCCTCTTCTGCCTAGCTTAGGACATATAGAAGCTTGACAGTTTAACAAATGCGAGAATCTCCCCAGAATAGCTTCCTTATGCGTATAAATGAGCTAAACTGGATAGACTGAACTAGAACGACCAGGCGATGTGACGTATAATGACGAATAGTCAAATGCGCCAACCCTGTCTCTATAGTGATATATCACTACGTCAACATGCGCGGGTTACTTTGGTAAGAATAGGTGTAACTAATGACGGAAGTGAGAGTGCCCACTATTTTGATATATTGACTATTTTGGCAACAATCCAACCGCTCTAGCACAGGTACCAATAATAGCGTATAAATGTAAACAAGTCTCTCACTTTACTGTTTATAGACATCTTAACCTCTTTTTACCCCTTTCAAGCTGATTGGGTAGGGTCTACCTGGCTATACCATGTGCGCAAGCAAATGCTCATCCTACGCAGCTCAAAGAAGCTGGTCCTCACGTGAGCGTCTAGCTCAACCCATCACAAACTTTGTCAACATCACCAGCTTCCTGTGAGACATCGAAAACTATGCTGCCAAGACCAAGGCAACGAAGATCGCCGTATTTATTTCTTGCATGCGCGCTATTTTTTGACCAAGGCGGCCCGCATAACAAAAGTTATCACGATGTAGAGTGGTAAACCTCGATGATGAGATGGGAAGATCAAGAATCATGCATGCATCAAAAATATTACTGTTTAAAGTCTCATAATAGGAAAGCAGCTCCAGCTGAGTGAATGAAGGGGGGGGGGACAGACGGAATCAATCACCATATTCCAGTAAATCCACATGCGCACAGCAGCTTACTAGTCGGATAGGATTGTGATGTCACGAACCGACGTATCTGAACAAATCCCACCACAACTAGCAATAAAAGTGGAATTAGTGGACCGCCGGACGAAAAAAAAACTATGCAATCGCCGCATGTTCTCAAGAATTCAAGTTCTGATGAATTCACTAGTGGGAAAAAAGCACCTCTTGAAAAAATTCATATTTATATGACTTCACCTGCTGAATGAATAATATTTCTTCCTAGTTTTTATGCAAAAAAGTTTTCAGCACTAAAAACTATGCATATTCAATGTTTCTGCATAAAAACTAAGAAGCGATGGCATACAAATTCAAATAAAAATTCTAAAGGGTGCCCACCACACCCCATGTCTTGAACTCCGTTGCGTTGGTTGAGTGATGCATCTTTAATGAATGACTTTCAGATAACGCTCCAAAAGCCAATAAATAATTTTTAGAGCATCTTTCAAACCCAATATCAAACATTCCAGTATAGTTAGTATAATTAGTCCACCCCCTCGAGGCCCAATCTATGATTTCCATTAAATCAAGCGGCTGCGTAGATGTTCTATGCATCGCTAATATATGACCACAGTGGAGTATTGATGGTACACAGATATCCCATAAATGTAACTAAACCAAAAATTGAAATTCATCGTAATCTTCTCCTTCGCACCCTAAATGCATTCTCCCATTTTAACCTAAATCATTCATAAGTTTTTCGCAACCACTTTAGTCCCTGAATTCGGAAAGATTCATGTATGTTTGCTTCGAAAAGATTTATGTGGTGTTCGTGAAAGTTCAGATGGCTGTTCTACGAAGCGGACTTTTCCCTTACGAAAGCAAAAAAACATTTCTCATGCCGAAATAAACTCTGAAATGTTACGTTTTCGAGAACGTTCGGAGGGAAAGTTTTTGAAACAAAAACTATTAAAAACATGAGTGATTTAAGAGACTGCTCTGAGGCTGATAAATTAATATTCTCCTCTTGTTTAGTGTAAAAGTGTTATCAAGGAAAAATGTTCCTCTGATTCCACATTGAAATGATGATGGATTTTTTCTACGTGAATAGAACCAGGACTCAATCCTATTCTACGAGCTCTGTCACAAACTGATTGTGCAGAATGAGGCCTATCCACGACACCAAAGGAGTAAACAGAAACAAAAGTACAATGTCCTTAGCACAACAAGTTTTCTCCAAGCTAAACTGAAAAGCCAATTCATAAAGGTCACAGCTGCAAAACAAGCAAGTTTTGAGGGAACTGCAAAACTTATATTTTCTGACAGTTTTCAGAGTATCTTTCGTGCTCCAAAAAAAAAACATTCTCCTTTCATCCTCTTGAAGGAAAAAGCCTTCAAAAAGCCTTTTAAGCCTTCCGCAATCTTTGACAGATAAAACTGTCAAGTCGTTGACTGATAAACTCTGTTGAAACATCAGTTTACACAAGAGTATGCAAACTATTCACGTGAAGTGCATCTGAGACTTCACTGATTCGATTAGTGTGATCAATTTGCAAAAACTTGCCGCAGACTTGACAAGAGCACAGTTCATATAAACTGTAAAGACATTTCTTTGCAAAACGTTACATTCCTTGGTGTTGTTATCGTCAAAATGCAACGAAATGCAACGAAATCTTCTGTCCATAAGAACCACTTCCTTCAGAACTCTTTCTAGGACTGTCCTAAAGAGAATTCTCAAAGAGGTGGGATGCCATATCGTAGTCTATAGACAATGGACCCTGCAGATTATACTAGCAGACCAGTATAATCTGCAGGGTCCATTAAGCGATTAGAACCCCAAAAATTTATGCATCGCCGGGCTTTTTTTGAAGATTATGTGTGACATTCCTATATGTTTACGTAACAGTTCTGCGGAGATAACAACTTTTCGGACAGCAAATTCCCGAACTTTTTCAATGCCAGGAACCAAGCGAGACTAAAGAATAGTCGAAAGTTCTAGATAAGATGCAAGTGACACTGTTGCCGCACATCACACAATATTAGCACTGCAGATGATTAGATGTTTGCGCAAGCGTCACGATCATTGGTGCATTGCCAGCTGCCCCTTTAAAATTCTCTTTCGACTGCCAAAAGAGAAGGGAGAAAGGGCGCTATTGTGGAAGTGGTTCTGCACAATTTTAGCCCACTTCAATTGACAAAAAGTCGAATCATTTGTAAATTAATATGTGTATTGCACACCGCGCGTGCTATTTCACAACTTGCAAGACTGGAAAATGTTGATTTCCAAGAATTTCTCATTCTTTTCTTCTCTACTTTGATTTATTGTATAAGCATTAGGTAGTAGTACACTAATCCACAGTCTGTTCCACTAGAAAAGATTTTAATGACGAGTTATTAGTAAGATGTCGTCGATTGCCGCGCGTAGTGTGTAACCTCACTTATTGAGTTACAAATGAGCCGCGATAGATCTTTGGTGAGTGAATATGCGCAGCCGCATGATTTTCACGGGGAAACCCCTGCTAATCTCTGCTCGGCTCTCGATTGAGCACGAGCAGCTTGCGCGGTAAACAAGGGCCGAGAGAGATGTAACTGCACAAAGCTCAGGGATATCCTCTCTGTTTGACGTATCAACTTTCATACTCAGCATAGCTACAGGCCGAAGAACAAACCTTCGAAGTGATGCAATAAGACCTAAGATTTTTTCCCACTGCAGGATAACGAATGAGTACGTTTTAGTCTTTGCTGCAAAACAGGGGGCTCTGACAAATGCTACATTGCCAAGACTTTTTCATACCTATCAGCTGTGTGCCATCAAGGCAAATTAGAATTGTTGGCGCACAAGTGCTTACTTTTTCTGTTGCTTTTTTTTCTTATTGCAAACAGGGGAGTTTTTCATTGATAGTACTTTAGTATGGGAGATGCTTTTTAAAACGAAGTACAGTTTATAGAACACACCAGAATGCGAGTAAGACGCTCTGTTTGTCTCAGAGAGTCCTTGAAACTGTACTATGAAGAGTACTCGAGGAAAACATTACTACTCGGGAGCCAATGAAAAAGAGAAGAGGAGGGGATGTCTCCGAGTTCTTCTTCATCATGAATGCACGACAATCGGGAGACGAATCTGTCAATTTGACGGATAATTACAGATACTAGTGCCCTTGCGGTAATCCATTTGTACCGTTAACTGGCCATAAGATGCAGACGCTAATGATGTGCACTCTATGGCCAATTTACGGCTCAAATTGTGGTCATTACAAGCATAGCAACTTGTTCACGCGCAAGTGCTGTCATCACCGCAGGAGCACTAGATGGACCGCTTCTACTAGACTTTCTCAGTAGGTCCATCCAGATGAACAATACAGGAGTAAATTTGCAAATATCTCCTGGAAGTCCTACACCTGGACTGTATGAAAACATTTGTCAACTATGGACTGCCCCCTTGAGTTTTGAGAGTTAAGTAAGTTACTCGTTTCTAGTTTGAGTGTCTCCCATGCAAGGCAATTCCTGCAGCGGATGTTCTACGAAAATGGGACTAATCCGCATTGCACTATTTGTTGTCAAGTTTTAGTGCAAAGCCATGACTCCAATGAGTGTTGATGATTTTGTAACACAGCGGAGACTCTCCGCAAAATTTCGTAAGTTTTTGGATATTTGCCAAAGGCTATAAACGCTTCGCAAGGTGAAGTAAGCTTTTATCTGGCAGAATAAATGGACAAAAATTCATAAAAAGGTCTGCCATTCCAATCTGTAAGCGAGATAGAGTACGCTCTGTTCGCGTAAGCTTTAACCTTAACAAAATCGAATTATCTAATTCTGCACATGAAGATTACTACGTTTTATTTTGTCGACTCAAAGTAATTTACGTCTGGTCAGCTCTGTTGCTATGGCAAGTGCCAAACTTATCCGGTTCAACCGATTCGCCTATCCGTTCATCCTTTAGCTATTCGTCAAGTCAGTGATCTGACCAACGCGAAGGAGTGAACCGCATGAACCCATCGAACTGGATAAGTCTGGCCTATCTATGGTTTGAATTGTGCCCTTTCTGCAAATGCACGCTCAGTTACACACGGTCCTGACTAGAAAAAACTGAGTTGCTTCCATCCATACCTCATCAATTTGCAAAACAGGTGATTACCCAATCCTTCGGCGGTAGTGAGCGGAATTCGTAATGAGAGACATTCCTTGAATAGAACAAGCAGGTGCAGCGCAGAGTTCAAATAATACAGCATCACAACGCTGCACATATTATTAGCTTGGAAATCACGAGGCTTAGCCATTTACCCTATCTTTAAGCCCAAAACCTTGTCATAGAACCTTCCTCATGAACAGTAGCCTACCTAAAACATTGCTAACATATCCTCTCTTACAAGTCTAAAAAAACTAATGTTGTCCGACTATGCGCGTAAATCTCTCGAGCCTACCATAAATCATGACGAAGCCGCAGCTGCTGTCGTCATTGCGGCCAAGACCATGCCTTAACGGAAAAAAATACGCCTGGCACAACATCTTGCCGCAGCGACGCTCTCATGCGTGCTCCTTCCAAAATAAATATGCCGTACATATAATGTATTCTAAGACTAGTGAACCAGTAATCTGAAGGTGCTAGATCTGCAGGAACGCTGGCTTCAGGACCCGCCGCGGTTCCCGCTATCTGATGTTTTTGAATTGGCTTTACGATTCTTTATATATTAGACTAGGAGAAACTCAAACCGCTTTGCACACATTTCTAAACACATTCTAACTTGTCCTCCCCCACTTCCAAGTAGTGAACAGCTTAAAAATTACAAGCATAAATTTGTCGGAAACAGGAACAAGCATGTCTGGACAATGTCTGCAAAGCGTACGCAGGCACCCAGTCTCGGAATAAGTGATACACTCATCCATAGAGATGAGAGTGAAGTAACAAGTCATGAAGTGTTGATCTCAACCCCTATGAGTACCTTATATGTAAACAAAGGTCCATTTTGCACCATTTTTAATTTACACGGCAAAGCAACAGAGCTGACCACTTCCTAGTCAAAAACCGTTGTTTACTACGTTTGCATTTGAAAGAAGATCAAACTAACCGGAACTAGTTGGTTGCAGAAGAGCGCTGGTTGGGAACGGCGAGAGAGGGCAGCCCCAGTGAGAGACGCAAGTGTGCGGAAGCAGAGGCACGAATCTTTTAAAGAGCACGGGCAGCCTCTTTTATACAGGGAGGCGGCCGCCTGCGACCAGCGGCTGTCGCGCGCGGCGCGTCCGCCCGTTTCTGACGGCCGCGCATTGCGTGCGGCGAGAGAGAGAGCCCCGTGGAGGGCGCCAGGCGTAAGACGAGTGCGAGACAGCGCGTCGGCGGCAGACGCGCAGAAAATCGTGCAATCTTCGAAGAGCGCCGGCTGTAAACACGACGAGCGCTGTGGAACGCGAGGGGTCGGCGCGGACGAGAGAGCGGAGACGCAGAGAAACGCTCCGCCGAGACCACCGACGAAGCCGGTCTTTGACTGTGGCCAAGCGGTTTCAGACGATTTGCTATGCTACTCGTACTTGACTGATGTGTGGAAGAACGGGGGAGGGGATTTCAGGGCCGCACAATTTGGAAAAAAGGTGCAAGATCGGTCACAATGGCGAGGAGATGGATCGACGGGACCATTTCAGCGGACTTGACATGCCAGTATGATAAAAAAAAAACATATTGCGAACATATATTGCGCATTTTTTTTACATTGGATCGACGCCAAAGTTATACGATATAGCCAGATGAGCGTCAGCGCGACCCACTGGCACAAGCCTAGCTCCATCGCCAATTTCTCGCTATATTACAGACGAGACCCTATTCCCACATCTCCCATCAAAAGCACTATGAATTCCCGCAACGACTAAGTAAACTGACAGAATTTTCAAGCTGCCAAAATACAATTACTTCTGTTAGGGCCCATGGCGGCAACGCGCCTAGCGCCCTGCGATAATCGATACCTATGCTTTCGCGAATGTTCTTTCGCACGAACGAACAGGCGACTGCTTTCGCAACGCAGCCCGTACACATATCATCCATTCTCTGACAAGGCGAGTCAAGGAAGCTACGAACACACTTGATTAACAAGTGGGAACTTGTGCTGTATATCATTTTGCATGATTTACTACTTGGAATTAGAGGAAGAACTAGTTCGAACATGTTAGACAACATGTGCGTAGCGCTTGCGAGTCTATTCAGAGGATTATAATTTGCGTGAAGTTCAAGATTTGGTTCCATTTCTGTGCAAATACACCAGGTAAGCCTTGATGTGGCGAAGAACGGGGCTTCAAAACTCCACTAGCAGATTGTAACTAAGATTTTGCTTCCATAAAACACTATTTGGTACTGTGGGAACACTCCGTCAGGTGGCACTCACTGGTTGAACATTCCGCAGTTTCACATAAACTTTAAATTGGCCCATCGTTCACATGACTAATCCCATAATCTACCGTAGCTGCTTGCGTATAAGGACCAGTAAGAACAATCTCTTTATTTGAGCCTACCTTGAATGTGCAGCTTTATGTACCATGTGCCTGCTTTCAAAGGTTCTCTTATTGAGCTCGGAGAATCTTCAAAGCGAGGAAATATCATTGAATGAACCAAAAAAAGTTGTCGACATTTCTTCGTCGGTGTAATTGAGCTGCGCCTGTGTTCAAAAAGAAAAAAAAGGAAATAAGTGATGCAACCACATGATAGAATGATTCATAGCTACTAAGTTTTTCGTCATCCACATTAATATAGATTTTACGTGCGCTTTGGCAGAAGCTTGGTCACTTTTTCGACAAGCCTACCACATGCACTTTCTGGCAGTTTTATTGACTTATGCGCCGACTTCGCTGAAAACGTACGGACTTGGATGGCTCGTATCACATTGACATCTATATCAGTAAACAGTTTTTTTTTCTAGTTTTCTTTTGCGTCTGGCACTTTGGTCAAATGTGGACAGACGGATTGGACAGACATAGGAACTTATGCCCATTTTAACAACTGAGGACGAGCTATGTTACAGAAGTAAGCAGAGTGTATGCAAAAGTGGAGAGTGCAGACATGGTCCCGACTGGAAGACATCAAGGCTGGCTTGAATCGCTACTTGATTTCTTGGAATATCTGGAGCATTTTTACCTGACCTTTGATAGACGTGGCAGGACACTTTTGAGAGTTTTTGCTACATTTTTGAAGTGGAAAAAGTACCTCTAGCTGAACAGCGCCATTCTCCTAAGCTATGTGCGGCTCGCGAATTTAGCTTGATAGCGGACATGCCCTTTTATTACGAAACACACTGGCGATTGCATAGTAGATACATAACAATGTTATGAATTTGTTGTAAATCTGCCAACATAACCAATGATTTAGTGATTCATACAACGATACACATTGTGGTTACTAAATCAACGTACTATAGAACGTTCATCAAAGTCAAAGTTCATCGTCGAGAACTGTGATCGTAGCCTGTTGATTGCTTGATCATCAATTAATCTCTTTTATAAACGTCTCAAGGACTTCGAAAAAGCATCGCAATGTAAACTTGTGTACTTGAGCACTGGTATGTGATTTCACAACTTCGTTTTTAGCTTCCATCTATTCCGACCAAAAACAAAACAACCGATTTGTAGCAGTGGCCATAGGTTTTTGGAAGGGGTAGAAGAAACGAAATTGGCGCAGTAGAAGTCTTTCTGAACGATGGGAGCGGTGTTAAATGTCATTTAAGAAACCCATTAGGCCTCGGACAGAGTTCACGCGATTTCATCGCGATTCCCCCGATAAAGAGCCGGGCATACTTCACGCGATTTCAGTCGCGACGCGATTTGGCAATATTCCAACTGTCCATAACTCATTAAAGTACATTTTGAATGTAGAGAAGATAGGGCATTCACTCGATCCACTAAATTATACACACTATGCATGTGCAGTTTACAAGTGTTAGATCCAAAGACTTCTGGCGAATTGCCAAATCGCGTCGCGACTGGGATCGCACGTAGTATGCGCGAACCTTAAGACAACAGTTACGAGTCCATTTCATGCCGGTCACATTTCGGTTGTGATAGTTAGTCACGATTACTCGTGTCGGAAAACTATCACAGCCGAAACGCAAGATGATCGACAGCAATGGACTCGTAACTGTTGTCTTGTCGGGGAAAGAGGCGATGAAATCGCGTGAAGGCTCTGCCCGAGTAAGGTGTTGAGAAAAGAGAATTGATCCTTATGAAAGTCATACTTCTATAACATCTGTAAAATCCATTTTCTTTTTAATTTTACATAGCATCTGGATCAATTTTAGAAGCCTTTACTGTGTCCGCCGCTAACATAAGATTCCTCCCGAGAAGATTATTTGCTTATCTTCGGAGCGGCATCTTTGAAATTCAATTGAAGTTTTACTTCAATGTGGCATTTGATTCATGGATCAAAACTTTTGCATATGAACGAATTCATTAGGGACTGCGGACTAGTCCTTTCCCATATAATAATGCCGACTGTGTGAGGACCAGTAGTCCGCTAAAGCAAGCTTCTTTGGCAAAATCAGTCGTCCACACGGATTTCTTTGTATCTAGAGTTTCGATAAATGATCTTTCGACCAAATTGCGTCACATCAGTGCTGTCGTTAATGTATAACATATCTTCTATGTCACTTTCTGCAAGCCATTGACGCGTCTGTCGCACAATGATCTAGATATGATGCAATCAGTTAGAACAATGTTGATGACGAAAGAAAGACTTTACACTAGTCCATTAGGGAAATATTGCAAGTCTTCTGCAGGAGGAGTGTTAATCTTTATCGTTTGAAATCAACTCCAGAATTTGAGACGATTCAAAAGGTATTCGCTATCTCAGTCTTCTATGTTTTGAATTTTGGCAAAGATTCGAATTCGGAAGCGAAACGCAATAAGAAACCAAATTTATCACGACTTTCTCATTGGAGAACAGTGTAAATTCGTATTTTTTTTTGCTCAGGTTTCAAGTCATGGTCTGTTTAGAGCGTTTTTCCCATAGGACCGCCACTTCGCATGCCTCTCGCGCCTTCGCGCTGCCTTTGGCGCGTTCTTTGATGCATGCAGTTGTGTCAACCGTCGAAAACAGCAGATGGGCTGCGTTTACGGTGTGCTCAAAAAATCTTCACGACATAGATTATACATTATAGGCTAAGTGCAACCAAAATTTATGCGAAAATTTTGAATTTCCTTCGATAGAATTGCTTTTCTTCTCCCAGATGGTCTTTAAACAGCTTGTTCTTCCCCATCATGTTCGGGAACACGAAATATTCATAATTTCATAAGCTCTGTAGTTGATTAATTGTATCTAATGGTGAATGAACCGTTATTTCGTAGCATCAATACGAGCCCCGAAGGCCGAAGGACAAAATTCTTTATAACCTTTGATTCAACTGGTTTGGCTTCATGAAGGCGGGGCTCTGTGACCTGAGGCCGCTCGCGTCCGCGACGCACCTGGTCTCTCTCGCGCGAGTGCTCTCTGATCATTATCCAGCCTTAATCAAGTCACGCCCCGCCTTCTTGAAGCCAAGCCAGTTGAATCAAATGGTGTACTAGAATTTTTTCGGCTGGAACACACGCGATAAACACACAAGCGTTTGAACCTTTAATAATACGCACATCAATTTATTTTCTTCGCTTTTTGTCCTGATCGGCTTCGCGTGAATTGGTGATTTATTGATGAATTTGCTTTGAAAAGATCTATCGCGGTTTCATTCCTAAGAACTTCTTAAGGTCAACAAAAGAAGGGATAACAGAGAATGAACATAGAAAAGATAAGAAGCAGCTTTAGTAATCTAAGGTGCAGTTTATCACGTACACGAAAGATGAGTGGTTTGTAGCTTTGAATGAATGCAAAGAATTTCAAAGAGAGGAGAGTGTTAGTCGATGAGAGAAAAATGGGGCGATAAAAAAGAAGTGCTTGCAGCAGCAATGCATTCCTGAGCTTTGGTCAGTAACAGTGAGCTCTTGCAGATATCTTTGGGGTTGATTGGTCGTTGATTTATAGCCTGAGCTTGCCCCATTGGAACTGTTTCAAACTATTTTTATTTCATCTTGAAAAATTGCCCAATTAGCTCAGGCTAAACATGTTGATTAGTGTTAGCTTCCGCCGACTCAGTTTATCCATGCTTAAAATCAGTATTATAAGATTCAAAAGTACTTCCGATTCCTTATAGTTAATTGTGTTTGAATTTCCCTCCAAGGCTTTTCGAATTTTCGGTCAATGTGAAAAGAGGGAGGAGGAATCACAGCCACATCCTCTATTTTGGAATTAGCAAAACGTTTAAGAACATGCCAAGAAATTTCGTAATGCCTCTGTCGCGTTTCCTTCCTAAAAAACCTCCGGACCGCCGCTATTTCCGTTTATGTTCTATTATTAGCGGGCTCCACATTTATAATCCTGAATCATAGTAATCGGTCAACGTAGTTACATAAAAACTAAAAGACCACGCTCGAACTACGTAGGTAGACCATGTGTTGGTCATTCAAGCACTCCATTACTCAATGGCCATGCGCTTGGGAACAAAAATGTTGGTTCAAGATCACAAGGATAGAAGAGGATTTGAACGTGCATTGTGGGCATCGAAACGTATGGAATGAAAAAATTTGAAAATTAGTATTAGCCTTGACAACAATTTCTCCATCGAAACTATGCAAAACATAAAGCAAGACTTGAACAGTAGATTTAAGGGTACTTTTCCGTTATGCGGACCCATTTTTCCAAAAAGCTCTCATGAAATACGCTCTTCAGTCTGAGAACAATTTTTTATGGATTCCACGAGGACTGCCTCCTGCCACGTGTCAGAAAAATATTGACACGTTTTGGTCCATTTTGACTTGTTTTTCTCGAAGTCACTTCCGGTTAGATAAAAGAGCATTTGTGATCACCTAAAAGCTGTTAAATTGTTTTGTATGAGAGCAAAACAATCTGAAATTCATATTAGAACATCGTGATCGTATTCAGCAACGATTCAGCATTGTCGTTCTCTTCAAACTTTTCGTCTTGCGAATTTAGCCAGACAAGACTATAAGTGATGGCTTGAAGTTTCTTGCTATTGCTTGTTTTGTCATTTAGATTATGGGGTCCTAGTCTACTTCTCTGCTCTGGGCAAGTCTGATCTGTTCAATTAACTACAGAATGACGTTATTATGATAACAATGCTTATTTTTGATACTGTTCAATAGAAAATGGGGCCACTATTGACTAATAACAAATTGGACTTACGTCGCTAGGTAGGGCAACTTAACCCATTGACGATGATGTGGACCACCGGTGGCCCACGCACTTTTTCCGCCACGGACGATGTGGAGCACCGGTGGCCCACACCCCTTGCACAATCATATCCTTTCCAGGTCTAGCATTTTTTCCAGAGTTCACCATTTTTCCCAATTTTCTGCACTCTTGGAACTTGCAGGCTTCGTCGTCCAAGGAAAT